ATATATATATATATATATATCAATATTATCATGTCGTTTATTTTTTGTTTTATCACCGCGAGTCGCATGATGTTTGAATCCGTGTGTCATTTTATTTCGTTCATTCGTTTGCCAAATATTTATCAAACGATTCAGCGTGGCCACCAACGAACGAAACGAGATCAGTGATTGTGAGAAATAAAAAAAAAAAAAAGACAGAAGGGGGAAGAAGAGAAGCACCGACAACCCATCACCACAGTTTCGTCGTATGATTGGTTAACGAACGCGAAAAAAAATGATTGACAATTTTGCATCGAATTTTAAGTGGCGTGCGACCAACAATATTGACGATGCGTGCATACGCGTTTTTGTTATTACATATTTGCCGTTTATCGTGAGATGTACGGGATAATTTTACGGACAGGTAACGTTTTTTAAGTCATTAATTAATCACGTGACGGTTTAATATTTGTTTTTTGTCGCGAAAATTTTCGACGTACGAGCGGGAGAGATTGTCACACAATCGCCACATGAGTGTAATTCGATCGGAGCGAGGCAGGGATCGTACGACAGGAGTACGTCATCGTGTATAGATCGCATGGATGTTTCAGGAGAAGGTTCCAATTAGAGGATTGGATCGACGTGGACCTCACAGGACGTCGGGATTGCATCGGTCGAGTTGGGATCAAAGCATTGGCAGGGGCAGTGGAAACGGTATGCACATGGTGAATTTTCGGTTGAAAGACGCGTGCGGTGGGGTATCCAGGCGAAGGCAAGCATGAAACAGAAAGTTGAAAGAGATACCATGAACGATCGCGCTTCAACATGCACCAGTGGCGTGTGTGTATGTATATATATATATACGTGTAATACATATATGTATTTGGCTGGCACACATTCATCTCGTACAGAGCCTGTGTCGTTAGAAGTCGCACGCGCACGCCGATTTATTTCTTGCGCTGCAAAACGAATCAAGAGATATATATGTATATGGCACTGCATAGTATATTAAACTATACGTGTCTATAATACAACTCGTGGCTTAACCCCGCGAATACAAGATAGCCACGGACAGCGAATCCTTCGAACGAATACGCTCTCGTGCATTTCTCTATGAAGCTTTGCATTTCAAGTACACCGTGTTCGCATGCGCTAGTAAGTGTCTATATCGAGTTTTGTCGAGGTGACAGTTTGACCAGGCAAGGTAGGTACAGATGACTTCCCATTTCGAGCGATCGATGCGTTCCCAGGAAATCGACTTCAAATCTGCGTGAATCAAAATCGCTACGAGCAAAATTCATCTAGACATCTTTTTATTCTAACTTTCTCAAAATCATTGATTATACCTCATTTATTTTCTAATTTACATTTTTTGAGATATAATAGTATTGACTAAATAAAAGTGTGAAGAGAGATTAATCTGAAAGTTAAATCTTATTAATTAAGCTGCTCTTTCACAATTTGTCGCAATTTATTTTATCACTTTTCTCGAATTACTGTTTTTTTTTTTTAACTCTGTCAACCTACTGTAATGAAAATTTTTAATTTAAACGTTCCATTAATATCTCATCAGGATAGATTATTCGTCCTGTTTTTCGCAAATATATCTTTCTAGAAATTTAATTATTCTCTCATCTATGTTAAATACCCTCGTTTACGAATTTGATTTTCACATTCGTCTCCAGGGAATGCACTTAGCACGCAAATCGGGGGGGGGGGGCTACTTATTAAACTAAGTATATATCATACGGTCAAAGACACAGAATGTTGAAGTAAGCACATAAAATCCGTATCTTCTATAATGTGATTCTGTGCCGACACTATAAGAAAGTAGTTCATTAAATATATTATAAGAATAAATACAGTTGAATGACGATGGAGAGCTAAAGCTTGCATATGTAATACAATAAAGTGCTACTGCGATACTTACATTTGAAAGAGTGCTGCATGTTGGTTTTTAATATCGGCGCAGGTATGCGGGTATGCAAGAAGCGTCGCTTGCGTTCAAATTCTTTAGCGCAGAAGAAGATAGACAGCGATATATTGATTATATTATTAAATAGCGAATAATCTGGTAAAGGATCATGAAGATGGCTATATTACAAAAGCACATATAATTTTTATTAGCCACGGAGCGCAGCAAGTGACTTACTCGTATTACAGTACAGCAGAACTACTACTAGAATTTCCGCGGAAACTCCGCGGCACTTCTCTCTCTCTCGGCATCTGTCGATATAAAGTGCTTTAACACGTAACAAACAAAACAAGCAATAACTAGATCGCCGCCGTTCGACCATTAATAGTAGGAGAGACCAATCACGCTCTGAAATATACTTTTTGCGCGTATATCCATCATTTGCATTCGCGTATCGTTCGTTGTATCCGAAAGATTAGAGAGCGGCAACGAACTATCGAATCGCCGCGAATATGGGATTGCTGTTGCAGATTAATTTGCTCCATGCGTGAACGCAGAACCATAAACTTTCGTTTACGTATTTGCGTAATTGCATTTGCTTACTCGACATATATATATATACGCGTATACGTATGCAGTCGTATACTGCATTCGTCAAATTGCATCGGCCATCCTAGTTCTTTTTTTTTTTTTCAGACGGCTTTTTTTTCAGACTTGCGCTGTCTTTTGTGACAGCCGCAATATCGCGGCTGAATACGATCGTCCGCAATCGATATCGGCTCGCCAGACGGCGCGCGTTTGTAATCGCAGCGAAATTATGTCGATGTTATAAAAGAGAAGATAACCCACGTTATTTGCCGATTGCGATTCGCTGCGAAATGGCTCTGCTCGCCGAACGTGGCGAAAGCGGCAAACGAAGCGCGACTAGAAGCAGCTAGCGAAAATCATTTTGCTGCGATAAAGTACGAGGCTGTAACTGACAGGATAAATTTTTATTTTTTTATCATACACTATATAGTTGTATATATTTTTATTATGCATATATATATATATATATATATAGCTATTGCTTTCTGCAGCATTGTATGAATATATTTTCAAGATTTATTATAACGTTGCCTCTCTTTTTCTTTCTTTTCTTTCTCCTCTTTTCCTCTCTCTTTTTTTCCTTTCTCTCTGTGAATTATAATAGATATAATAATTATACAAAGAAAGACCAATTGTATGAATAAAAATGTCATTTACTGCCTCTCAACTTATCACGCAGTTGCGTAGCATCGTTACGATCCGCGAAGATCAATAACTCCAATATCGCGATGATAAACTGCCTCTGAAATAAAATTTTATTAATATTATGCAAGCGATTTACGTTTTGGAGCTATGATCTTCAGCTTTTTCGTCAAGATTTTATATTTACAAGAGGCTTATTGTGCCAAGCATTATGGAAGAGCTCATTAGGCACACACGCACATTTTACGCAGGCTTAGCGATGAGTAACAAAGAAAGCTGGAAGGGAAGCGAAAGGAACGCAGGATGATGAAGTGGGAATATATCAGAATAATTGAAAAAGGTCGCAATAAGTGAAACGAGTCCGTTATATCACATGCTTTAATTATCAATATCGGAATAACTTTTTATTTTGAACAATTTCTCGTATTCTATTTTTTCAATCCAAAATTCCAAATCGTCTCCCGAAAATACAGAAGCCGTGTACTACGAACGTAGTGTAAATAAAATCGGATTTCATCAAGGCAACGTTAACGCGAATTTAATTGCAACCGTGTTTCGTAAAATTCATTCGTTTACGATTACCGATCGAAGTCGGCGTAAACGGAAAAGCTTATACTCTGTGTTCCAGGATTGATTTTTACTCCACGTTCGAAATATACGACTTGCGAGAGCACGATAAAACGCGATAAGAGCGCCGACCTTCTTCTCGATGACGATCAACTATCTTTGCCGGGGAACGGAGCTTGATGTGGCGATTGTACAGAATAACGGGAGAGACCGGGAATCGATGTGGGCTCAGGATATATAAATATTAACATATATCGGATACATCTCCTCCGTGCCTCAAGAATATCGCAACTAAAGCGCGGGAAAAGCCGTGAGGGTGTGGATATGGGGAACGTAGGAGGTGAAGATTGGGAGGAAAAAGACGAGAAGAAGACAGCGAGTCGTGAGTCATATAGAACTCTTCTTACGTGGTGTTCGCCCATAGTAAAAGCGCCTAACATCTACGTGGTCTTTAAGAGGACTCGCGTGCTTGGCGTAACTCGCGTGCTCTCGGCGAGTGAGAAAAATGTCGCGAATCGTGGAAAAATTAATTTCATAATCAATTTCGCAGACGAGCATCGTGATACAACGACGGCAAAAATTTCGCCAAGGGCACGCGACGAAAGTGGAGGAACAATCCCGCGTTTAAGGAGGAGCTATATCTGCAGGAGAGAAGAAATGTAGTAAATTAACGTAATAAATTGATCTGCGAGAAATTGCGATCGGCATGATCGGCCGATCGCAGCGGCACGCAAACAATACGATATGTAACACCAAAAGAAAAATAATAATAAAAATTTAAATAAAAAGTTAAAGAGAAAGTGGTTACGATACAAGCACTGAGTCGAATAGATTCCGAATAAGAGGAGAATTAAAAACAAGGGAAGCAGGAAGCGCGAGGCTAAGATTGTGAGCAATAATGGGCGCAATATCGAATAATACACAAGTATATATATAATATATATATATATGTATAAATATAAATATTACAAGGGATTAGCGAGTCTCGGGAAGTTCTGTTCTCATTTTTCTTTTTATCATAGAAAGAGATGAAATAAGAAGAAGCATTAATAAAACAAATATTCATGCATTTCTCAAGCATTATTATTACAAATACTGGCTGACTCCTTGACAAACCCCGTGAGCGTGCACGCGCAAAAAAACGCATTTTCGAGACTGACGAGATCGACTACATCTCTCTATCTCGAGTCGGCGCAAGCTGTTCGCGTTTCATCACTTCTCGTCGTGCCTCGCACGAGGACGATGTTAAAATCCCGATCGCATCAGCGCACACACA